CCGCTGATCACACGAGACACATTTACACACTTATACGCGTATATATGGACGCTGTTGCAAAAGCAACCGATTAATGACAGGACGGCCAGTCCGCTTGCGACAGCGTCAATTGTTAAATAGACTCTTTCGCGAATTTGCGGTCGACGTATCCGATCGCTTTCTGTAAACACTCGACGACTTTTACCCGTAGTATTCCTTGTCCGTTTAATTTCGCCTTCACGATGCCTCCACCGCAGGGAAGTATGTGAAAGGTACTTGAGGTGTTGTCCGGCGGACGATAACGGAAATTGACGAAACCATCGGTCTTCCGCAGATTAGCCGTGATGTAACGACCGGTTCGCAAAGTCAGCTCCGGTGTTTTCTTGAATTTGATAGCGTCGGTGGCGACCCGGTTGGAGACGTTGTTCCGAGTGTTTACCTGTCGAATCACTGTGATTATTTAATGACAATTATAAACAATCCACGCGCGCGTAAAGTATTTAGCGTGACAACTAAATCTGTACTTAAATCTTTATGGAGAACATAAACACATATATCGCGTAAGGGAATTGCGGAAATTAATAATCTTTACGTACTGTTATAAAACCGTGTACGTAATTCTCGCGTAAAGACGAACACGGTGCAAAAACTAAACGGAAGATCGTCTATCGTCTTTTTTTAATTGAGCATATAATATGTGCGGTTTTCTAAACGATCGATTTTATTAACGTATAACAACGAAGACCGACCACATATAGGGTAAAGTTGTACATAGTGTCGTATCTCATCCTGTGAAGCGTCAGCTTGGTCTGCCGTACGCAGTGCAGACCTTCCGGAACGCCCCGATGATGGTGCTCCTTTGAGGACAAGCCGGTTCTCGCCGACGAGTTCGGATGAGCTTTCAGAACGTTCTGCGCAGCACAGAGAGTCGATGGGTGCGGCTGCGTGCCCGAAGTGACAACTAAACAGTAGTTCGAAAGGTGAGGATCCACATGGCTGGAAAAACAAATATTCCATTCTCGAAATTGCGATTCTAACGATAAAATTGATATAGACGAATTAATATATGAGCTTCACGTTATCGAGCGCAATGACAGACTACATCGATTACAGAACAAAATTACCGTGATATCGCAGTGATGATAATAAGAATAAGATCTCGAATTTCGTATACTTGACACTTCAATTTATATATATCGCGAAAAGAAAGAATCTTTACAAAGCCGGCTTTTGGCTCAATTTTAATTTTATTTTAAATTATTAAAAACATTATTATTGTAAGAATTATCGAAATCAAGTTTTGTTTACACTTTTAATTTAAACGGACATATTTAACCTATTTATTCTGTAATTAATTAGTCACATTTTTTTATCATCTATACCCTTACGTTCTCATATTTTTATTTAATTGTATCCTTCAGCTTATTTTCTTTTAAAATATTATTTTTTAAATATCTTTTGCTTTGAATAATTATTTGATTTATTAGCGTCCATTTCATCTGGGAAGAACCAATAGAATATGAAATAACATACTCTTATTCAATCAATGCACTCCTAATTTTCACAGTATTACAATACAAGGCTTTACAAAGCGAATAACACGCCGGACTTATAAGTGCGTTCGCTTTGAACGCTCACGCATGTCTTATTTCATGTTCTTTTCGTGCATATAATGAACGATAAAGATAGAATGAAGGTTATAGCGTGTGAGTATATAAAATCGAACGCAGCGACAAATTATATGACAAATTAGTTTAAAAACAACATTGGATATGAGTTTGATATATTTTCCTTAATAAGAGGTAGAAAAAGGAAAGCAACAGACGTTAAATTAATAGACATAAATGCAAAGCGACACATATCAAGTCACTGTCTAGAATTACAAATCTTTGACTGCACTGGTTTAATGAAAAAGATAAATTACTTTCTAATACATTTAGAGAAACGTAAGACACGAAAATAAATATAGTGATACCTCTTGCCCCAGGATATTGTCAGCCGCCGTTTACTTCGTCGCTGTTGAAATCTCAGTGTGCGATGTCGATTCTCTTTTCCATTCGCATACATGCCCGATACGTGGTCCAAGGCGCTGGAAGTCGCATACAGGAGCACCGTGCCAGGTGAGACATTCGCGGGCTCCATGGATTTGATTTCGAACCAGTAAAGACCGGCTCGCGTCTTTGGTATCGTAAAATTTTGGTCCTCCGCGCCCTCGTACATAAAGAGAGGAGATCCCGGTTTCAGGGTCTTCACAGGCCATCGCGTTTGCGCTACGTGGTAAATTAATTCGGAAATTATTCGAGCGACTGGATAATTTAAGGGACACCTCGATTACCCTTCGTCACACCCGAGGTGATTGCAAATATTGTTCTGTAAAATATATCATATTTCTTCTTCTCGGATACGCCTTCAAATTATCAATCTTCAAATTATATATTGATCTTCAATAATTTATCACTAAAATAGTCACAAATATTATTATCATTGTAAACAAGGTAAATATCCTAATAACTGAATTAAAAAGAAGATATGATCAGTCCTATATTATTATTAATTATTAAGCATTACAAAAGAGGAATTAATATCCGTATGAAACTTTGTTATGTCGATGATTAAAATATACTATCTTATAAATCTACAAAAAAATATTTAAGTAAAATTTTATTAATATATTACATATATCAATTGTAGTTGTACCAGTAATTAAACTTTTAATAAACTTTTAAATAAAATAAATTTTTTTAATTTATTTTATTTGCAATTTCTTCAACCATAAAAAACAGCCAGGAAAAACATACAGCTTATAGTAATTACAGCTTATAGTAAATACAATACAATATTTTAAAAAATTCGAAAATGTAGACACTTAAATGTTTTATTCAAAATGGTAAGAAGATAAATGAAAATATAATTTTCTTGTAATTTTCTTGTTTTAGAGACAAATATTTTAATAAACACAAATGTATTATTGATTTTTCAATCACTGGGCACATTCCGTTATTGGAACATTTACCTTATAATAGAAATATATGAGAGATATAAAAAAAAGGCCGATAATATATATATATATATATATAATATATATACACGAGACAGACTGTAACTAAATAACTTTTTAATATTTGCATAAAATGACAAGTATTGTTAAGACTTAAAGCATCTAAATTGACAAAATAGTAAAATGTCTTGCTTTATCGCATCTGTCAGTTGTTAATAGATTCACATATACTTTGTACCTTCTGCTTCTTGATTATTCTCGGGCGGTTCTACATAACTGACCGTCCAGGATATCGGACCGCTGCATGGGCTAACGAGTAACGTGAGAGGCGGACCTTCTCGTGGGCTCAGGTAATAGAACCTGTAAGAATTTCATCTGCATCCAGTTTGATATTGATGTTCGCGGCACATCGAACGTACGCAAACGAACGAAAATGTGTAACGAGACGCAATCTTCTATAATCTATAACGGAGGATACTTGATATCTTTTAAGTAGCTCGGAAGTAGTCACCTGATTTTCTTCTTACATAAATGATTAATGTCGTATTTTTACCCCAATTAAAATCACTATTATTAACAATTGTGTACTATTGATTATTTTTCGATTTAGATATTAGTATTTGAGAATATTATAGACTTAATCATAATTTTCTGAAAAAAGTAAGAAGTCAAAAAAATATTAAATGAAATGTTGAGTAGCTTATGAAAGTTTTTTCTAAAAAATGAAAATCTCAATTACATTGTGCGAGTTTTTGATAAAATTGTATATTTAAGAATTTTAAAATTCTAAAAACTATATTGTTAGAGAATAGTTATTAAAAAAGAAAAAAAATGTTAAACATACAAAACATATCTATATAAAATATTTTACTACAATTGGCATTTTTTCGCCATCACTGAGGTATAAAATATCCCAGTGATTATCCCAAATTAAATATTTTCATTGATCATGCAAAATAGCGTTTCCTACCGATTGATACGATTTCGCTCCATTTTCAATGACGTTTCACGCGTCGTCGAGCGCACTGTCGCAAAAATCACCGCCGATCTAATCCGGTATAAGCATCGCTTCGTAAGCCCCTCGTTATCATAATCGATGTAAATCGGCAATGTTAATCCGATAAAGAACACCGTGCCGCACGGCGGATGTTGCATATCGTAATTGAAATAATTACCCGGTAATTGCCGCAATTTCGTAGTCACGCAATACACATACATGCTACTCACGCATACGTGTATACACTGAATTCCACCGCCGTTATATTTAGACACAATGTTGATCAGTTCGATACAATTCTTTTTTCCCTCCCTATCTTCCCTGTCACCTTCTATTTCTTTCTTTTCGAAAATTACACTGGTTAACTTTACGCTTCGATGATGCTGCTCATCCTGTACCGCCCCCGTTCTTCTTCATGCCCTTCCTCTCACCGTTGGGGGCACTTTTTTTTCCTTTATTTTGCGTCGATGTCGACAACGC